GCAATATTCATATGGAAATAATMTCTCTAAAACACTCTGGAACAAACGGGAAGAGCTGTCATGATCTCCCTCTCTTTTCTTGCAGTGCAGGGCATCCGGCCCAGGGCTCCCTGCATGCTAAGCAAATGCTCTTCCACTGAGCTGCATCCTCAGCCTGAGCCATCATGCATCATGGTTTTGAACAGAAGGTCTTAACAAGGTATTGTCTTTAAATTAATCTCAAAATTGAACAGTAGCCTAATGAAAACCCAGGATTATTCTATACTAGACTTCAGATCCCAAAYTGATTTTAAAGTGCCAGTGGAGGGCTGGGGAGTTTAGTGCTACAGCCCTGGCCTAGCATGTGGGAGGCCCTGGATGTAATCTCCAGCACTGGGGAAAATGTGCAAAAATCATGAAAATTTTGAAAAAGAAGAGTAAAAACTGGGAATGATCCTTACTGGATATTAAAACAATAAACCATAACTATTAAAACATATGACACATTAATAGGAGATTAATGGAATAGCATAGAAAATTCAGAAGTCCCTAAACATTGAGTAAGTGATCAAGTTGCAATCTCAAACTCAAAGAGGACAGGTTATTAAAAATAATAGGCCAAGTGGTAGGATAAGTAGCTGTCACCTGAAAAAAGTTAGATATAGATAATTTATACCTTTCATTAAAATCAATTTTAGATAGATCAAAGATCAATATTATAAAGGAGAAATTGCCAGACATGGTGATGCACACCTATGATCCCAGTGACTTGGGAGGCTGAGGCAGGAGGATTGCAAGTTCAAAGCAGGTCTCAGCAGCTCAGTGAGGTCCTAAGCAACTTTGAGAGACCCTATCTAAATTTTTTTAAAATGCTGGAGATGTAGCTCAGTGGTTAAGTGCCCCTGGATTCAATCTCTGATATGAGAGGGGGGTGGGATGGGGGGAAGAGATTGCTGGGTATGTAGCATATACCGGTACTGCAATCCCAGAAATTTGGGATGGTGAAGCAGAAAGATAGCAAGTTTGAGGCCAGCCTTAGCAACTTAGCAAGATCCTATCTTAAAATAAATTAAAAGGGCTGGGATATGGCTCAGTGGTAGAATGCCCCTGGGTTCAATCCCCAGACTGCAAAAACAGACAATAACAACAAAATCTAAAGCCATAAAAAGACTGCTAATTTTCACTGCATTAAAATTATTTTCATGCTAAAACCATGATAATCAAGATCTGGAGTAGAGCTCAATGGTAGATTGCCTCTCTGGCTCATGCCAGGCCCTGGGTTCAACCCCCAGCACCACAYACACACAGATAAGTTTTAAAAAATAAGTCCTACTACTKGCCATGTTTTATTGAAACTGAAGCTCTTTAATTTCTGGCAATGAAGGATTAATAATGAGGAGCTAATAAATAATAAAATGCCTTCCTATACTCTTGTTAATTCCATGGAATGAATGATCCAAAACAAAAATTGAATGTAATTCAAAGAATATTGTGGAATTCCAAGAAAAATATAAAATATCTTCTATAATTAAATTACTTTTAAAAATACCTAAAAGGCTTTAGAATCCAAAARTCAGATCATTTTAAATAAGTTTGAAATTTTTAAAAAAATATTATGATTACAAATAATAAGAACCAAACTCTGGATAAAGGTAAATTAAAACAATCGTTTGTCCCAAAAAGTAAAACCAAAATCAGACATTATTAAAACATCTGACCTCAGACATGCATGCAATGGCTAGCTCTAGGAAAGAACACTAACTGGTTCATGGAAGTAAATACTTGACCTTGGCCTTTTAGATTTTATCCATCCTCAACTCCKGGGGAGTTCTTTTTATAATTTTTTAAATTTTTATTATGTATGCTCAGGATTGAACCGAGGACCTCAAACTGAACAAGTGCTCTACAATGAGCAGCCCTCCACCTGGGATTTTAGCTGAAATGTCTCAACTCTGTGTTCTTTTGCGTGTGTCCCAGTTAAAGCTTTCTTCCAGGCTATTATGKTAAGCTGACTGTCACCATGCCTTCATCCCCTGTGTCCTTCCCCCTGCTGTTGGAATTCCCAGTATAAAGATGATCTCACTCCCTTGCTAAATGCTTTCATTTTGTACTCATTACATAAGTATTAAAGTTCAAATGCTTTTGTGTGGCTGTAACAGCTATCTTCATTTTTCACTTCCTTCCCCTGCAATTACTTCTCCTCCACAATGTGGAAATGACTTCTCCTTTTCAGTTGTTGGTCTTGGGAGGGCCTCTGGCTCTAGCCAGGCCAATTGAGTTCATCCTAGATATTTCAACGTGGGCTGGCAATCAGTTCATCGATCTTGGGACAGCTGCAGCAAGCAGAAGTTCATACGMAATCAGTGGCCACATCTTCTGCCAAATAACCAGAAACATGCAGAAATCCAGTTGTAAGGAAGAATGAAGATGTACAGAGAAGCTGGGCTCAGAGTTAGGAACCTGAGTGTCAATCCCAGCTCTCCTGAATCCAGGGAAAAACTTTATCAGACCATTACAATGTATTCTCCCTTGTGGGCTGATTTAAACTGTTTCCAAAACCTGCACTCAAATCAGCCCTAAACCACTGCACATGGCACCTTGGCAGTTTAACCACATCCTATCAGCCAGCTTCATTTCCCGGTGTTCCGACCACACCACCACCCCAACTACTCAACCATTAGCCATTCTCTCCAAGTTCAGTTCCCAGTCTTCTGGTGCACCCACCTGGGCTGCAGATTTCTCCTGTTACAAGACTGCCTCACATCTACCTCAAGGTGCAGCAACTATGTCCCCTCAGCTACAAGGTTTTGGATTATCTGCTGTTTCCTTCATCTAAGTCCATTCTGTGCTCACTGTCCTTTGTATATGCTTCTTTGATTACATTTACCACATTGTATGGTAGAATTCCTACTTGCTTATATCCTACTTTGCAAGTTCTTACAGAACAGTCTTACAGGTCTATGTAACTCCACTTTTACCACCACTGGGGCACACATGGCAGATGCTTGATTAAACGTTTTCCACGATCAGCTTATTCCAAGTGAGTCAACCTTTGTCCCCCAGGTGCCTCAAAAAGACATGACCAACTCTTTGACTCCACAGATGACTGAGAAAGCAGTCATTCACTAGTGTAATTGTTTGGACACAAAAGTAACTTGTGGATTAAAGTGACCAGAGGCCCCAAAGCCCCAGGCTCACTCTCCTCAAGGGCCTGAATTGCAGTCTTATACCTCGAATAGCTTCTGTCCGTCCACGTTTTTTATAGTTGCATCTATTCATTCTGCTGAATTCTTTTATGTCCAAATAGATGTCAACCACTTTTATAGCATTTTCTGCTTACAATTAAGAGTTCTGACTACCCCTACCCACAATGCTTGGAACCAGAAGTATTTTGGATTTGGGAGTTTYTCTGGACTTTAGAATATCTGCATAGACTTTACTGCTGGGTGAATATCCCTAATCCAAAATCCATACATTTTTGAATGGAAAAAGTTTTGGATTTTGGATTTGCAGATTAGGCATTTTCAACCTGTGTACATATATTATCTGGAAAGTGAGGTGGGGGAGAGGGATTCTTAAAAAATTTTATATTCAACCCAGTAAACAAAACAAAACACCATTTCTTCATAACAAAGATGATTTATTGAACTTCATGGATAAATGTAACATACTTTTCTACAATAAAATTATTCAACTTTAGATTTCTTGAGGAAATATGTTATTAGCAATATACTTTCATTAAAGCATTGTTAACAACAAACTACATTAGATTCTGGGGTAGTTTCCTTTGGTGTTCTCAAAGATTTTTCTAAAA